GAAAGTAAAGGTCACCTGTCTATTTACACAAACGCAACATTATACAAATCAGTGCTGGACAAGGAAGGCCATGCACTGAACAAACCCAAAGTGATGGAGATGCCAACCTTGTCTTAAGGTATTGACCTTTCCCCAGAGTTAGCCTGGTATCTTTCGTGAAACCCAGGAGTGACAGGACTAGCACGAATTATGACCCTTTGAGGTCCATTCTATCTCTCGGTGTATGATTTGATGACTTTTGCCTGCCTTAGTTTTCTGATTTTTTAAAAAAATTGGGCACCAAAAGCTATAGAATAAGTGGCCACCTACTGGCATAATTTCATGGGCCCTAAGGAAGCTCTCATTATCTCCCCCAGCCCCTCACCCAAAATATCTTCTCCTTATCCACACACTCTGACTAATGACTGAAATTCTCTCATCAGGAGACAAAATGCATTCTACAATGAGGCATTATTCCAGCTACCCCAGGAAGAGGAAACACATTGAGTTTAATTTGCACTAACTCAACTGTATCAAGCTAGCCCCAGAGCAGACCAAATGAGACCATGCTTCATATTTCACCCAGCCACCTACCCCAGCATCTTCTTGCCATTTGCTGTGTATCTCCAGACTTCTAGAGACAATGCTCTTGGGGACTTAATTGATTCAGCTTTAGAGTCTCAGTCTGGGGTCCCTGCTGTACTGACTGGTATGTCAGTGAGAACAAACTCACATATCTCACCATATCTAGCTGGCCTCAGACCATTCTTCATATCCCATGCAGCCAAACATCCTGGCCATCTTCTTGTTTTCTGCTCTGTCTTCTTCCTCTCTTGGCTCTAAGAATTCTAATCAAATCAACAGTGCCATTGCTTTTGGAAAGAAAGTGTTCATCAACCCCCTTATGGCCCCATTTGTTACCTCTATGATTCTCCTGGCCCAAACTCCCCTCCTGGGCTACTCGCCTATGTATGTACCTTCCCCTATTGGAATGTAAGTTCTTTGGGGTCAGGGACTGTCTCCCTTCTGTATTTATATTGCAGGTAGTTACTGGCTATTACCTGGCACATGGGAAGCATTTAATAAATGTTTTGCATTTATTCATTCACTTATTAAGGTATCAGTGACTATTTTAGTGCCTTTTCTGGGAATAATTTATGTTAGGCAAGAAGAGAAAGCAGAAAGGGAGGAGGTATCTCAAGAGAGGTTCACAATATTCCTCTGTATGACTTAGTCTCCATGTACAGGTTCTAATCACATGCTTTTATATGCACTCCAGCACTTGGAGTATGAACTCCCTGCCTTCAGATTTCTTCTGCTTCTGGACCATCAGGTCATAGGTAGGTGACAGCCCTTCACTAAATGCGTACTAAACTCAGGATCATATCTGACTCATCTTCTCCTTCCTAAACAGAAGTGCTACCATTGTCATTTATTAATTTCTATACTTCATATTCCCCAAATCTTTCCTCATGCTTCAAATGATGGATGGTTATTACCAGATAAAAAAGACAGATGATAGATAATAGATTGATAAATGATAGACAGATCACATAGATGAATGATACATAAATGATAGATGACAGATGGATTACAGATAGAATTTATTAAGCACTTACTATGTGCTATGTGCCAGACACTGGCCTATGTGGTAGGAATACAGATGTAAGCAAGACAGTAACAACCTTGAAGGAGCTTACATTCTAATGGGGGAAGACAATAAATAAAGAGGTAATAGAAAAGAAAGAAGAGAGGATACCACTACTGGGAGCAGGAGAGAGTAAGAAGACTTCAAGAAGTTGTGTAGATGCCTGAGTCCTAGCAAGATAATGCAAATATCTCACCAGAGGTGGGGAAACGGGGAGTTTAGTCTGAATTTCCAAGGTGAGGAGAGATGGTTAGAGGTAGGGCCATGGCACAGAGCCTTTGGGAAATGGAATAAATGACTGGAACCAGAAAGATAAGGTAAAAAACTCACCTATTAGAGCTAGGGAAGTTGAGATAATGTGTATAAAAGAGAATGACAGAATTTTTCTGGATGGCTGGATGCTTAGAACCGGAACTCCACACTACCCTTTATCTAGTACCCAGAATCAAGTTGCATTCTTAAAAGTCCATTTCAAAGACTGCTTGCTTAATGTATGGAATAAATTGATAGCTGGTAGAAGTGAGAGCCCCAGGATCCTGCCCTTTGGCCACGACTATGTCCTGCTCAATACAGGTAAGGTTCAGAGCTGTTTTACTGGGCTTTCTAGGGTCTTCTGTTCTTTACTCCAATGGCATATGTGGTTAAGGTCTTCTTTCCATGGTGAGGACCAAGACTTGAAGAGAAGAAAAGCATTCCAGGTTTCCTTCAGAGGCTTTTGATATCATCCCACTGCCTCTGAGCAAAAATCATTATGGGAATACCCTACCTTGTGCTTTCCTCCACTAAGGAACTTGAAGAGGAGGTCAGCTTTGATGCGATGGAAGTTGAATTTGGAGCCAAAAGACCTGGGCTCGAATCTTGACGCTGCCACTCATGAGCTGCATGACTTTGGGCAAACTGATGAACCTTTCTGTTGTCTAAGGCAGGATTCTGAAGGACTGGCCAGGTGGCCTTTCTGGATCTCCCTAGACTTTAGGCTAATGGGAATAGACTTGGAAAAACTCCCCAAATTAGCCAGCTCCTCTCTGCCTGCTATCATCATTTTTGATATATGAGGATTTGAGGTGGCCTAAAAGCCATATGGCATGGGACAGAGAACAGTTGACAAGGCAAAGAACTTGTTTGTTTTTTAGTCACCTCTGGAAACCTATTTCTCCAGCAAAACAAGACAAAATCCACTGAACACAAACCAAGAATCTGTAAGCAGCTAAAGGGCTGCTGCAAATCGATAAGGAAAAAAGGGAAAGCTGGAGCTTGAAGGGACTTTTGAAGATTGTGTAGTCTGGCCTACTTCCTCTTAAAAAAGGAGAAAATCAATTCTCCCCCAACTAAAGCCTCAGCTTAGTCAAGGTCACCCTGGTAATTAGTAGTGGAGTCAGGATTTAAATCCAGGTCTTCTGGCTTTTCTTCCCTGCCCCATGCTCGGGAGAAGACTCTGGAAGCAGTGATGTATCCTGGACTCTTTTAGCTAACACACATCTCTTCCTTCTCTGACCTCCTTCATCATTTATTGCCTCTTTCACACGGCAGTAGTTTTTCCACAGTTAATAGTATAAGGCCAGGTATTACCCTTCCACTTCAGGTGTCCTAACTTGTCTCCCAAAGCAGGTATGGTTCAGATTGCCTTCTCTCCCTGGTATGGGGCTGGGCTAGATTAGGCAATCAGTAAATTATTTCGTTTCAATTATCCTCTCTATACTGATGACTCCCCACCCTAATCCAGAATAATTTCTTTCATAAACTCTAGATCAACATAACTAGCTCCTGTATCTCCAATTGGATGTCCTAAGGGCTTTCAAGCTCAACATACCCCAAACAGAACTTATCTTCTCTCCTAAATCTACCTCTCCTCTAGACTTCCCCATTTCTGTTGAGACTGACATTCCATCCCTCAAGTTCATAACTCTAACATCTTCCTTGACTCTTTGCTGTTGTGCGCCCCTACTGATTGTCAAATCCTATTGATTCTCCTTGCACACCTCTCTCAAATCGCCCCCTTTTCCTCCACCCAGTGGCCACCACCTTAGGTGATGATGGGCTTTCATCACCTCTTGCCTGAACAATAGCAGCAATTAGTCATCGGCTTTTGCCCGAATAGTTGCAACAGTTAATCCATCAATGTGCACTTTTCACGTGTCAGGAATTATAATATGTATTGGGAATATAAAGGGAGATTAAAAAAAAGTCTCTGCCCTCAAAGAGCTCATTTTCAGATGGGGGAGACCAGGTAAATAATTATGGACATAAAAGACATATACATAGTACTTGGAAAACAATCCAGCAGTTGGAGAGGGGGAGGCTGCCTCCTGCAGAGGGTGGGATTTGAGTTGAATCCTCAAGGAAGCCAAGGAAGCCCAAAGGCAGAGCTGAAGGACAGAACATTCCAGTCTTGGGGCACAGCCAGCATAAAGACACAGAGATGGAAAAGTGAGTGTCAGTTTTGGGGAAAGGCAAGTAGGGCGGGTAGCCTGATCACTGAGGGTATGGAGAGCAGTAAAGTGTAAGAAGACTGAAAAATGGGAAGGGGCCAGGTTATGAAGAGCTTTAAATGCCAAACAGAGGCATCTGGTCCTAGAGGTAATAGGGAGCCCCTGGAACTCAATGAGCAGCGGAATGACACTGTCACACCTAGAAAAATTTTTTATAAAAAAAATTCTTGGCAACTGAGTGGAAGATGGATTGGAGTGGGAAGAGACCTAAGGCAAAGAGACCAATCATTAGATTGTAAGCTCCTTGAGGTCAGGCATTGCCTTTCTTTTTATTAATTGTATCCCCAGCACTTAGCAGAGTGGCTGGCATATAGTAGGTGCTTAATAAATGTAGATAAAATAAATAAATAAATTTAGAATTTTTTTCACTGCTGCCACAACCTGTCTAGTGGCTCCAGGATGCTTTGGTGCAGACTTGTGGCTTTGGCTTATGGATCAGGAAAACTTTGGAGCTCCTGCCTTTTCGCCAGTTAGGATTTTGGCCCCAAACAGCTGTCTGTTACGGCTGATTTAGTCCCAATCTCCCATCCATCTTCTCTCCTTTTTCCTCCATGGTTCTTTTTTTCCTTACAGAAGTTTCCATTTGGTTTTCTTCAACCTACAGGCTTCTATGAAATGTCTTTTCCTGCCAGTGTCATATCTACTACAGACTCTCCTGCAGATCACAGGTCTAGAGTCCAAAGGGACCTTAGAGATTATGCAGTCCAACAGATGAGGAAGTAAAATGCTTCGTCCTCAGACGAAAGACACAGCCAGGATATGAACCCTTGTCTGGTGATTCAAAGTCCGGTGATCTTTCTATTACATCATGCTGTTCCCCTTCCTCCTAACCCCTCACAGAGGGGACAAGGAGAAAGAGGAAAAGCTCAGCCACTTGTCTGTTGACTCTCTTGCTTCAATCAATCAATCAACAAGCATTTATTAAGAATCTAATATGTGTCAAGCACACACAGGGAACACAAATACAGTAAATGGATTAATTCTTTTAAGAAGCTTATAATCTACTAGAGGCTGACAAGAAGTAAATATTCAAGTAAATACAGAATAACTATAAAGAAAATCAATACAAATAAATTCGAGGTTGGTGGAAGAAAGGACACTAGCAGCTGGGAGAATCAGGAAAAACTTCATATAGAATGTGGTAATGAAGTTTCCTAAAGGAGGAGAGAGATTCTATGAGGCAGAAGAGATGGGTTTCCCAGGAATATGGTGGTGAGCAGTGCAACAGCATGGAGATGGGGGATGAATGTTGTGAGAAACAAAGAGAAGGCTAGTTTGGCTGGATTGTCAAAGACGAAAAGACGATGAGTGTATGACAAAGCTGCAAAGAGAAAATTTCTTGCCTGCTATATTACAAAAGACCATAGTAGAGATGCCATTTTCTGGAAACATACAGGCTAGACAGCTCTACTAAGGTTTTTATTCTGTCCCAACTCCCTCAGGAGAAATCCCTGAGTTCCTCCTCTTGGTCTCCGCTTTTTCTACTCAGGAGAGGACACAGCTTTTGAAACATACATCTGTAAAGGGCTCTGAGGTTTGCATTATGTGCAGACCTATCTGGGGAGCTTTGGTGCCACCCTTTGACCCAAACTTGAGAAAGACTGGTATAGCATAGTATAGTATGAAATGGTATGCTTTGGTATGGCATGACATGGGATGGTATGGTATGATATCACATAGTATGACATGGTGTGGTATGGCATGCCTGCCTCTACCAGAGCTACACTCAAAACCTTCACATCTTGGTGGGCACACATAAACACATATGTGTCCAGATGTCCATGTACAAGTGTGACTGTATGTCTATTATGTGCATGAGCATCCATGTCCTCGAAGTGTGGAAAGAGGACAATATGGAGGATATGGAGTTAGAAGAGCAACTTGTAGGATTTAGGGCTGGTGAGGACCTTCCCTGCAGAAGAGGAAACTGAGACCCAGAGTGGAGAAGTAAGCTGCTGAAATTCACAAAGCTAGCAAGTATCAAAGCTGGGATTGAAACCCAGGTCTTCTGACTCCAAGCTCCATGCTCTTTCTGTTACTCATTTACCTTTGTGACCTTGGATGAGGTGCTTTTTTTTCCCCAGGCCTCAGTTTCCTCATCTGTACAGTGAAAGGTTTAGCTCTAACCCCTATGATCCTAAGGTATTGAATTTTATCTGTGCCCAATAAAGACACTTGGAGGCTTTTGCCACTACTGACAGGAAACTGAAATGACCTGCAGAGAAAGAGGGAGAAAGAGAGAGAAAGAAAAAGAGAGAGACTGAAAAACTATTTGGAAGCCAAGGGAACACAATGTGAAATGGTGGTCTTGCCAAGATTTTTGCTTATTTTTTGGCATTTTCATGTCACCTGCATTCTTCCCCATTTGCCCCTCCTCATTACATGAACCAATTGTCCCCATGGCAACTTTGATGCTCAATCCTCTTAGTTCCAAAAAGTGTCTCAGAATGGCGGCTGTTGGAAGTCTTGGGCCTTCTCTCTGAGCTTTGAACTGAAATATGTATCTTGTCTCTTATGTCACTAACCCAGGGAGCCAAGAACTTGTGTGTGTGTGTGTGTGTGTGTGTGTGTGTGTGTGTGTGTGTAGAAAAAGGAAAACTAGCCATCTTTAGTGGGAGACTGAGTATAAAGGGATCCTACATAATCCAAAACCAGAACCCAGCAAACTAACAGGAGAGAAAAGGGGGCAAGAAAGCTGCAGAAAGATGGGAGGGGAAGGAAAAAGGAGAGGGAAAGGAGGGGGCAGAAACTGGAGGAGAGGGGAGAAGAGGATGAAGATGAGTTACCCTAACAGAGGCTGTGTTTACATATGAAGCAGCACATGGGATGTAGGCTGTACTGGAAACCCACCCAAGGAAAAAGGTGGGGTCACTGTGTTTATCACTTTGGTTCTCCTTTCAACTGTAAGCAACTGGCCTGAAAAGTGACCTCTTCTTTTGGTTCTCAGGATTGGCAATTTAACTGCTAATTACTTTGTATATAAATTCCAGTAGGCAGGGCTGGATAATTAAGCTTCAGTTTCAGTAGTGAAGCTAATCCTTCAACCCCTGGCCCTGCTAGACTGTCAAACACCCCTACCAGAGGAAGGGAGGAAAGACTGAGGTAATACAACACAGTGGCTGATTCCAAACTAATCCATCTTTAGTTTTAGAATAGTCAGAGAGACACAGGCAGTGATCCACACTCACCCACTTAATCCCCCCCTGCCCCCTTTGTAGTTCAGGCCCTTCTGCTGGCAGCTTGGTACCCAAGTGGGCAGTAGGGAGGTTATGGACCTGGTTAATCCACAAGGCATAGAATCCATCTGCTTATAGGCTTATAAACAAAAGCTCAAATGTATAGGAGGAATGAAGGATCTGAGGGGGTGGGGTTGGAGTGAGGGAAACAACATGTGTGGATGTATGGGGGGGGTGTGTGTGTATGTGTGTGGATATGTGTGTGTATGTAAGTGTATGTACAAACATATGTCTGTTGGGGAAATTTCTCAACTGTACATGCTTTCAAGAATTTAAAATCTAATTGATGAGACTTTTCATATACATATAAAGATAACAGAAACTACAAGGAAGCATATGCTAAGTAACAAATTAATGGAAACGATAAATAGTACAGGAGTTGAGAGGAAAGGGCCCGACCTATAGACTGTAGCTTCATGGAGATGAAATTTGTGCTGAACCTTGAAGGAAGAGCAGATCTTGATCAGGCTCAGGGGTGGGTCATGGAGGACATTTTTGATGGGATGGGGAAATAGCATAAACAAAGAGCCCAAAGAAGGAATGCATAAGATGGGATGGGGGTCTGTTGAGTAAACCAAGAGAATTCATCTAGGGGAGCAGTAGGGTATAAGGCGTGGTAGGAGAAAACTGTGGCAAGCCTTTAAGTTCAAACAAAGGATTTGGATCTTATTTAATAGATTATGGAGAGTCAATGAATGGTTTTGAGCATTCAAGGTGTATGCATCAAACCTTTCTGGTGCAATGCCAGAGAAAATGTCAGTATTTCAGATTGGAATGGTGGAAAATGATCCAACTTCCTAGGATCATAGATTTAGAGTAGAAAGGGATCTCAGAGACCACCCACTCTCAGATTCCAACCACCTCATTTTATAGATGGGGAAACTGAGGCCCATAGAAATTCAGTGACATTCCCAAAGTTTCACAGGTCCTAAGTGGCAGGGATTGGCAGAGACTTGTCCGGTGTCACACAGCCATTATGTGTCAGAGGCAGGACTCTACCTGGCTTCTAGGCCTGCTTTCTATCCACTATGCTACCTTGCCTCTTTAATTATTATTAATACTAGTATGTGGAAAATAATGTACAAAGGGAAAACCATCTGTGGTTCTATTTCTATTTGCTGCTATTTGTGTAGGCCCATGTCTTCACCATTCCTTGATGAGCTACATTTATCCTGATTGTTCAGTTTTCTTTTTGTTATTTCCCCATGGGTCTGGCATGTCTCCTACTCTTACTCTTACTTCTCTATACCATGCCCCAGAGTATCTATCTTTCAAAGCCAACCTGGAAAGGTCTCCTCTGTGAAGCTTTCCTTGATCACTCCAACCCAAAATGGTTTGTCTTTTTGCTGATGTCCCATTTAACTCATAGTCTGACTCATAGTCTTGTCATATACTGTCTTGCATTCTTAATTGTCTTTTCATGTCCCAAGTCCTCAACTAGACAGTAGAATTCTCAACGGGCAGAAATCATGTCCCGCACACACCTCTTTGTGTCTGACAGCATAATTAGCAGTGATCCCATTCTGTCTTGTTTGCTAGTTGTTTTTCCACATCCTGTGTCCCCACAGTGCTTTGACCATACAAGGTGATCCAATCAATACTTGATTGATTGAGGCTTGGGATTTGAGTCAAACCAGATGGGACCTACGTGGGCTCAACCAAGGCTGCAGCTCCTTTCTCTGAGGGTTTATGGCCAACAGCAATAAATCCTTTGACTTGAATTTAAGAAAAGGAGGAAAAAGTAGGAAAGAGAAACTAACTAAATGCAGCAGTTGACAGTAGCTGAAGAAAAAAATCCCTCGAGGACCTTTAATGTCCCTGTTTCTAATAATAAGTAGTTGTTCCTCCCAAAATTCCTGACCTCATAGAGCAGCCTGCGTAAATGCACTTTCTTCCTCACAGAGCAGCCTGCGCAAATGTACCTTCTTCCTTACTGGAAAGGGAGTGAGTGAGTGAGTGTGTGTGTGGTTGTGTGTGTGTGTGTGTGTGTGTGTGTGTGTGTGTGTGTGTTTTGTTTTCTTGGAAGGGAGATTCAGGGGGGCAACAAGCAAGGCTAAATGGTCTTTAAAGAGTCTCTTCCTGTTGGGTGCCTTCAACTCCCCCATCCCCCTACATCACAAACTGAGAACCCCTTGTGACTCCTCCTTTCCCGATCCTATCTGTTGGAGATAGCTAAGACAAACAAACTCAGGAAGTGGCAAAAGGTTGGGAAGCAGGGGAAATCTATGGCACTGAAGGGAAAAGTAAAAAGATTATGGCTGGTCTGAAAGGGGAAGGTGAAGGTCACCCCAAGGTCACTTTGTGCCAAGCCCTTTAAAATGCCTTGCTTGTACTTTAATACAAAACTGGCACACACATTTGGCCAGGGCTCCAGGGACCATTCAAATGTTAACATGCACAATGATAAACAGCCAAAAAAAAAAAAAAAACCCCTTCTATGTAAGCAAATTGGAACAAACAACTAATCTAAAGCTGGTTGCTAAGAGACCAGTGGGATAGAAGCCAAAATCAGTCCAACTGTCCAGAGATTTCATTATGTTTTTACTTTTAAAAAGTCAAAGAAAGGAGAAGATGCTAACCTGTAGATGACGCCATGTTGGTGAAGGAACATGAGTGCCGACGTGACCTCTGCAGCATAGAATCGGGACCGCGGTTCATCAAATTTTCGGGAACGTTGAATTTGAAACATCAGGTCTCCTCCATTTACATATTCCATGACGAAAAAGAGGCG